AGTGTAATTTATACATTCTCTTGAAAACTAGCCTTCTCACTGTTTCAATATGTCATTTTCTCCAATTGATAAAGATGTATATACATATACCCACTTCTAAAAGTGAACAGATAATTTTCATTTAGTATTGTTTGTTTGGATCTTCCCATCTATGTGTTAGGACTGCAACTGTTCAGTCTCTAATTGGCATATGTGCATACTGTGATAATTGCCTCGATATAGCCTTAATTCCATGTTATCAATAAAATTCTGTGTGCATTTAGGGACTAGGCAGACTTGAAGTTATTCACTACTCAATGATTAATAAATTTTATGGTCCACAGTTCTATAGGATGTCATTCGGAACTCAGTAGTAAAGTGTCAGGCTTTGGCTTAGAGTTTCATTCGGATCATTAGCTCCTTTAAAATTACAGATATGACTTACTGACAGAGATAACCAGCACGAAATCTAGGTCAACTAGAGTTCTCTATGGACTTCATATAGTCAGCTAATATAACAATAGATGTATTTGCAAATTAATAAAAATAATTCAACCTGGTTTGGTATTGAGTAAAATGGTATGATTAACAAAGTATTAAGAGTTAAGGGATAAAATCCCCAAAAATTACTGACAAAAGAGTATTGTGAGAAGCAACTAATAATTTTAATACATTTGCCAGGGATATGGAAAGATAAGACATTTTAGTCTGGATTCGGTGATCATATAAGGTTTTGAAACACGCTGAAATCAATGTTCTTTTAAGCAATGATGGATAGTGGCTAACAGTGGAATCCAGGACAAAGCGCGTTTCGTCCTATTTGGGACTCGTCAGTTGGATGCACCTGCATCTCAGAGTCGATGTCCACTCCGGGACTCGAACCAAGTACCTTTCGCTTCAAACGCCATCGCGTTATCCCCTCGGTACACCCAGCTGACGAGTCTCAAATAGGACGAAACGCGCTTTGTCCTGGATTCCACTGCTAGCCACTATCCATCTTTGCTTACAATGCTTGTGAATTAAGGCTATATCGAGGCGATAAGCACAGAATGCACATATGCCAATAAGAGACTGAACAGTTGCAGTTCTAACACATAGATAGGAAGATCCAAACAAACAATACTAAGTAAATGTTGTTTCAGCCAAGATGTTAAAACAGATGATTTCGAAGTCAAACAATTTAGGCTGCATTGTTAGGGAAATCATATAAACAGATTACCAAAATACAAACTTGTAACTAGCTTTTAAAAAGCAACACTGATAACAATATGTTAACAATTGTGAATCTGAAAGAAAATTGTATATTTTTCTCGTTTTCCATGTAATCGAATTGAAGTTATGGAACAAAAGATGAGATCGTATTTCTACTCATTCTTTTTCCATTTTCATGTGATAACTATTCAATGGTTGTTCAGTGTAAATTAAGTTCAGCTTTATGTGTAGCAGACTTTCAGTAAAAATTCTGTGTAAAATTCATTTTTTTTAATTTTCAATAGCTAAATTCATCAGTCGATGTCAACTAGACCACCACTAAAAACCTGAAAACACTGGACGGTCATTTCGTCCTAATATGAGACTACTCATCAGTGCTCACTCACGACCCCTCACGACGGATTCGAACGCGAGACCTTTGGTCTTACATGCGAATGCTTAACGTTTAGACAACTGAGCTGGCCAGCGTCCAACGGTGTTAATGTCTAACTTCAATTGACCCATGTATTTAAGCTGATTTCGGTTATTTATGTTATTTGTTCAACAATCATTAAATTTCAGTAAAGTCAATATGAAAAGTCAGTTTATTTGATCTAATTTGTTATTGTGTTCTTCAGAAAATCAATAAAATCTTTATCTGTTACCAACTTTTTTCTTCTTTCCTGCATCGTACAAATCCTAGGATTTTCCTGTGTCATTTATTGATAAAATGGTTATGCTTATTGGGGTTTTGATTGGTAGACAATACTTGTAAATTTAGGAACCATAGAATTATTCTAATACAAACTGTTCTATTGCAAACTGGTTAATGACAACTAACACGCAACACGTCAGTATGGAAGGGAGATTAAATATGGTGAAAACTTGATTTTCAAGCAAACAACTTTTAAAAAGGTACAACTCAGTATGTATAATAATAAAAAGGTGACGTTCAGACATACAGAAAATTGGTGGATTAAAATTGGCAACAACAAATCAGAAATGAGCAAGGACAATGCGAAAATCTGAATATTGGGAAAAAAGTATGTACGATTGCCGTTTCTAGTAAGATTTAGGCATTATTAAAAAATTGCATAATACTGTAATCTCCTAGCATCTGCACCGGGTAACTAGTAGTGAGGTTACAAGCCAGGATATTAGAGAATGATGGCAAACTAGTTGATGAGTATGTGAATCTTCATCAACTGAGATGATTGCGCAACGTATTACGCATGCCTGACCATCGATCACCACGGCGCACAGTGCTGACTAGTGTTGGAGACGGAAGGTAGAGAGTTAGGGGAGGCCGAAACGAAACATGGCATCGGTAATTGAAGTCACTAACTTCCGATCTGAGCCATATTGGTAGATGCAGGTTACTTGGTTGTAATCCACGCAACTATCCTTACCAATGGTTAGAGATTCTGTGTGAAATGACTCAGGATCTATCAAATGGCGTAGGTATATACACTCTTTGTCTTCCTTTAAACCGTGTGATTGAAAATACCTCATTCCTTTCTTCCTACGAACTAATTCTTTCTCCCTGTGTTGCATCCTTATATGCAATCTTTCTTTTATATATTGCTACAATTGAAGTAACTGTTTTTATGAATTTGGTGTTCATCTAGTTGCGCTAATGAGGTGTGGCGATTTGGACCGATGGATATATGTGCCTGGTCCTACGTTGTAGCTGACTGACCGACCGATTTTCAAAGGAAATGCACTTTAGTTATTGAGACTGTAAAGTATATACATTATATTTTCCTTTTGTATATGTAGGGAAAATGAACTGAACTGTATTAATAAAGAGTACTAATGTTGTAAACTGTTTTGCTTCCATCATAATTATGTTAATCCATTTATAACACTATAAAACTACATTAACTTCATATTGGATATAAACCTTATGGAACAAATACTTTCTAAACTCTTAAAAAGTTTTGTTCATTAACGCTATTTTCTATAATGAACTGTAATTCAAACTTCAGATACAATGGGGACAATGTGAAATTTTAATCAATACAATGTTAGTGTTAAAAATTATGATTTCATCAGCAAATAAGAAGTGAGAAATTTGTGAGATAACGTTGAATTTCCTTTTCTACATCATAGACAGATCTTTATTAAATAACCATCGAAAACCAAGAAACCTTGGACTGTTGCTTCGACCTAGAATTATACTAATCAACATCTTGCTCCAACTACTCAACAATTGATAGGACATAGAATATTCAGATCTTACACTTGGAGCTTAACTTTTAGACCACTCATGAACAATGTAATGACGGTGTAAACAGAAACATTTTTTACAACAGTTGATTTGACCATAAAAACATCTGATAACTTACATCATACAAAATACCTGTAAAGAGATTCCAATACTTATCCTTTTTTTTACTAATAAGGATTTATACATAACCGATGGCGATATAAGAGAGTATAATTAATCAATAACATATTTGCGTCCTGAGCTGATTCCCTCGATATTTGCATTTAGGCGAAAGTACTTATTCACTTAGACAGTAACTAAGTATGAAATTAAGAACTTACAACTGAATAAGCTCAAATGATTCAAACCCATTTGCACAAGTAAACCTTGATAGTTTACACCGTAGTCTGATCTTAATTTGAAAATCACTAAAAACTAGGAAACACTAGTTTCGATACTTCATGGTAGTAATGGACTTTTCTGTAGTGCTTATTCACGAACCTACCAGGGATATGACCTAGGAATTATAACCAATTCGTGATATTTAGTGACCATCATCCATCACTGTTGATGACATTTAATGTTACTCTCGACATAATGCTATCTGGGTTACCCACCAGAATTCTCCATCAAACTCTGGTCTAAGCAATCCTCTCCATTTTTATACAGTCTCAATTCATTATTTTCATGTCTGCTTCCGATTCCCGACACAGTGTGTTCCATGATCTCCCTATTTTCCGTTGCCACTCAGGATTCCATGTTAGTGCTTGCCTCGTGATGCAGTTTGATGATTTCCTTAATGTATGTCCCACTCACTCACCTTCAATATCTTTTCCTGATTCCCTCTTCATATTCAAGCTGCTTTTTTCTCTCCTATAGTAAGCTGTTGCTGATGGTATCCGGTCAACAGACATTGAGTATCTTCATTAGAAAACTTTGTGAAGACTTGTACTTCATTGATGATGGTTGTGGTAGTTCTGCAAGTTTCAGCTCCGTACAGTGGAACTGTCTTGATGTTCGTATTGAAGATTCTGAATCTGAAGTTGATTGGTTGTTATTTGTAATTTCATATATTCTTCAGCTGTAGAAATGTTGTCCTTGCTTTGCCAATCCTTACCTTTACGTCTGCATCAGATCCTCCTTGTTCATAGATGATGCTATCCAGATACGTGAATGTTTCTATCTCTTCCAGAGTTTCATAATCAATTGTGATTGTGTTGGTATTTTCTGTGTTGTGTTTGAGGATCTTGTTACATCCCTTGTCTTTGTGGAGGTCTGATTCTGCCGAGGCTGCTGCTACACTGTTTTTTCTTGACCTACATTTGTTTGTGTGTATAGAATAGAAGAATTAATGAAACTAGACAACCTTATCTATTACCGGTTCTCACTTGCGATGCATCTGTCAGCCGTTCTCTATGCACGACTTTCTCTTGAGAATGATGTATATATATATATATATATATATATATATATATATATATATATATATATATATATATATATATATATATATATCAGCCCTACTGCTTCAGCGAAAGTTATTATCTAGATTCTCATTGGTTAATTTAAAATGTAAAGAGAATAGATTAATTTCCTAATACACACATACATACACATGAATAATATAAATGTATGTGTATACATGTATGTAGTTTTATATACTTTGTATCCATTATAAATATATATGTCTAGCCCACACAAAAGCATTTAAATTCACGTTATCCTATCTATATTTTGTGAGTATGTCGATATGTTGTCTTACTGAAACTGTACTCATTACCGTGAATAATAAAAGAAGCATTCAGTGAAGCCAAAATATCTATTCTATTCAAAAGATCTAATCTTCTTCAAACATTGAATTTGGAAACCTGTTTTATTAGTAATTTTGGAAAGAAATTTGTATTATGATTATTTATTTGGTTTGAACAAGTGTTTAGTTGACAATTGAACATGTATTGCATTACGTGAAATAGACGTTCCATTATTGTAGTTGAATGGAATTAGTTAAAAACTTGAATGTTCTGCAGTATATGGAACAAATACAATGGAATTATTTAACAATAGTTAATCATCACAATAAAATCACAGAAGTAACTTGAATGATTATTACAAATATGTTATTGAATTAACGATATCTTATCAAAACATTTTTATCTATGTATATACTACTTATATACATGAATCAAATTATTTATATGATAATCTTAATTTCATAAAATGAATACATTACATTGGGCAAGTGGAGCGAAAGCTGCCAATATAGATGGTACAATGGGAGTTTATGGTCAGTTAGACAAGTAAGTTATGTAAAAATTTTGAATAATGTTGCATAAAACATTATTATGTTTAAGTGAAGAAATAGGATCATATATTAAATTGACACAGAAAAAATCTAATTAACAATTGCTTTATACAAACTGATAGGATTATTCAATTGTCAACATGGGGTTGTGGAGATTGTTGAATTTTTGATTGAGATCATAAATCGATCAATAGTGGTCTAACATTGATTGATTCATGATTTTAATCAAATGCGATATTCAAGTTGAATTTTTCTGTTTACGATCTTTTAGCACAGTTCAGATTAAACAGTCGATAATTTACTGAATTCGCCTTTTTTTAAAGTTCTCTCATGGTTTTCATTTTTCTATTGCTGTTGTTATCCGAATAATAGCGTTTTCCTGTGGCATAACACATGTTATTATAAATGTTATCATTAAATATTTCTTTGTTTAAAGTGAATTTAGCATAAATTACAGTCATTTAAATTATATACTTACTTATCCTTGTCTTATAAATCTATCATCCACAGTGAGTAACTAGATGTTAATCAACCAAGTCAAATATTTATATTCATCTGTTTTAGAAGTAAAGCGGTGTTTTTAAAACTCATTCATAAATGTCTATGATGATGGTAGAAAGTAAGAGAAAATGTGCTGCTGTGTACGGTGAAGTAATTCCAAACTAAGAATGACCACAGTAATGCAATCATTTTATTCACGTTGCTAATTTCAACCAATTCTCGATCCAGTAATAAACTCGTCTTTTTACCATTTTATTCCGGGAATTTATTCCTACTTCTAGAATGATCTTGTCTGTCTAACTGTTCCACGAGAATTGTTCCTATTTTTAGTCCCACTACTCTGGCATTTATTATGATATTTTATCTCTGTGCACTGATATTGAATGAAAACTTGAACTAAAGCACATGTGTGTTATGCTCTACTGTGTTTTCGACTGGTTAAATAACTAAATTATGTTAGCGGTAAGAAATTAACTTGTTGGCGATACCACGAAAATCTAGCGATACCACAAATTAGATGATATATATAGGACTCTATAATATAGTCTTCAACTAGGTCCTATTCAGGTTTCTTTCTAATATACAACGATGGTTACTATATAGATGTATAAATGTACAGATAGAACATGGAATTAATATACATTATTCACTAACAACTAACAATAAGAAACAGAAATTTAACTCAGAAGTCTAATTATAATCGAGTAATATCAATCAGTTTGTATTTCTGTTATAGCAAGTAGCAAGTAGCATTTTATCTATAGTCACAACAAGTTGCCGTATCAATCTATTTGTTAAATCATTACAATACGATCAATACCGATACATAAGTAAACATATTAAGTGATACATGGAAATTAACAATATGGCAATTGGCTAAGCAATATTAATCATTACGGTAATTATAGTGATAGTAAAAATAGTCGTTGGATTATTTTTGGCAATGGAAATGAAAATGTTTAACACTTTCATTAAGTACTTATAAATTACTTTGATTAGTCGAATGTTCAATTGATATTTAATAGCGTAATAAGGAAAAACATGAATGATTGGGAGTAACTCATTCAATTATCTATACTTATTTGTTTTATTCTACGGTATACAATATTAAATTTTTACATTTTGCAAATTAATCAGGAAATCAAAAATGTATACGATTGGGTCAAGTGACATTGTACCACTCTGTCAGACATAAATATCTTCAGAATTAATCCAGTATTAAGTCACTTATGCAACTTTTTATAGAGTATACTTTTACAAACTAAGATCTTGTGGACAATCAGTACTCTCGTTAGCTGATATTCATGTTTTATTGAAAATAAATCACTTATCTATTCGATCTTTGTTAGGATAACGAGTACATACTAAAAGTCTGTTATTAGAAGAAGAAAGTAGCTATCCAGTGATTCATAATTTTCAACGATACGTCGACTAAAATCTGTTGTTAACAAATTTATAACCTAGTAAACTATTTTTATCAGAAGGGGGTTTTGTGAGATTAAGTATTTTCATAGTTGAAGGCGTGAGTCAATTGAAGCTAGACCACCGTGGATGCGCACTGCTGAGGAGTCCCATAATAGGACGAAACAACCGTCCAGTGTTTTCAGGTTTTCCCTGGTGGTCTAGCTTCAATTGACTCACGCTTTCAACTATTTATTTGTTATATGCGGTTAATTTAATTTTAATTTTATAACCTTATTTTGTTCAACTCTTTCTTTTTTTTGTACGAAATTCATCATGTGAAACGTGATAATCTATTTTGACAATTGTGATTATCATTCCCAAATTAGATTTGTTTATATTTATATGTATATTGTGAATGATTATTAATCATTTTTACTCTTATTACTACCGATAATATTGATTGAATTCAATAGAATTGATAAAATAGAAGTAGAGAGAGAGGAAGAGTAAAGGGAGAAAAACCATAACAACTATCATATACTTTGGTGAGCAGTGGAAAACCAGGACGCGCGTTTCATCCTATTTGGGACTCGTCAGCTGGATGTACCTGCATCTCAGATTTCATGTTCACTCTGGGACTTGAACCCAGTACCCTCACTTCAAACGCCATCGCGTTATCCACTCGGCCACTGAGTCCTGATAGCCACTTGCTTGTGCAATGGGGTGAAGTTTAAATTCACTTAGTATTGTTTGTTTGAATCTTCCCATCGATGTGTTAGGACTGCAACCGGTCAGTCTCTAATTGGCATATGTGCATACTGTGAGTATTGCCTCGATATACCTTAATTCACAAGCATGGTGAGCAGAGATGGATATACTTTTATATATACTTTTATGCAAGTATATTTTTTTTCAAATTTTATTCTAGTCACTTTCTGTCAATCCGAAAAGTTAACAAACTTGACACAGAATGAATTAGTTTGAACAATAGGTGTAACATTAGATATAAGAGGTTTGTTGAAATGACTTAAATTTGCATAGATAATTTAAATCATTAACTGATATTTTTTTAACTAAAAATTTAGGATAGGAGAATAGGTGTTATGCCAGATCATGATTATCTTCAGCTGCACTTTGCTTATACCTATATCAGAGATTATCAATCTAAAACTTTCTGATATGTTGCTCAGTGTTTCAGGTAAACCAGTAAGTTAGGTTATAACTGTTCACGAATCTGATGTATTACCGATACTACAGCCTAAATAAATAATTTTACGTTAGTAGTGTAGTAATTAGTATTAGTTTTGTATATTTTAATGAAGTTTATTGATATTGTGGATATTTGTCATTACTGAGAGTTTTTTCTGACGTAGAGTTTAATTACGTTATTTCACTTGAATAAATCTGTATTAAACAGTTGTCCATCATATGCTACGGATAAGAGCTGTGGAATATCGTGAATTGGTCGAATTTAGACATTAACGACATTGGATGACGATTCTTCGGTATAGAGGTTCAGAATTCGTGGATCTGCACTCCTAGGGAGTCACATACTAGGATAAAGTGGTCGTCCAGTACTTCTAGGTTTTCTATGGTTTTCTAGATAACATCAGTTCTTATTACAAAAACTATGAAAAATCTGTAATAAAAAACAAGCAATCATGAAATTATTATTTAGTTGTCAGAATTATCTATCCCACAGATGTTATTCCTAATAAAATTATGCATTTAACCAGAGTTTACCATTTGTAAATTGCCAAGCCAAAACATTTCGAGAGTGTAACAGTTATCCGTTAATGATACTGGAAAGTGGCTTCACGATATCATAGTTTAATCGAAGATAATCACGTTACATATATACAGTGAAACGTTGGTAAACTTACGCTAACTTGTGTATCTGTGAGTTTGACACCAGCATATACCTTAAGTTGAATTCTATTTTGACTGTAGGTACATTCAGTAACTCGCTATACTAGAAGTAATTATATCACTTAACCAGATTAAGTAATTAAAACTGGAGTAAAATTGGTTTTTTTACCAACGAATTGGAAATCACAATCAATTAGTACTAATTTCATATTGAAAAGTTTGTTAAAGCCGTGGAAATCGATGATACCTTATAGAAAAAACAAAGGTGATTTGTTTTTAAACGCTACTATTTTATTTTGTACAATAACCACATAGAACTGGACATCTGTTTCGTTTCATTATGGAGATTCCTAGAAGTCAGCATTCACGACCCTACTGGACTTTCATTTTAAAACATCATTTAAATGTGCTCAATTGCCGCTTATCCTAAAGGACTATGCTATATATCAGAAACTTAGACTGAAAGTATTAGTGACCGCTACTAATACAAGATACTGATGTATAGGCCGCCGAACTGAACTATCCTGAGAGGTTCCGAATACCATAATATGGAAACCTTAGGTAACTTGGCTACAAGAAGAAGCACCCATTTATTATACTATTCTAATTTTCTTAATATTTACAGTTTTATCTGTCCATTATTAGACTAATTTGATTTCCACCCTAATTTGATTCCACTGTTTATTTAAAATAAGATAATGACAATTAACTTAGATTCTTATCATGTTTTATTGTGTTTTTAGAGGTTATGATTTCGATTACTTGTCAGATTGTAGGGCACTGCCGAGGAATGTCGAGCTACGATAACACAGTTATCCAGTGCTTCCTGATTTTCATTAGTTGTCTAAGATCAACTTGTGATGTAAACTATGAAATTCAACCACCTTCATAAATCTCTTATAATAATAATAGTCATGACTAATCTATATACAAGAGATCTCTCTAATGCAATCTTCATGTTAGAATAGTCGATTTTGTGCATCATTAGTCGACTAGTCTAAAAAATAAGTCATTGAAATTGTCAGATTATGTTATTCTTTAACCACAATCAATAAATACTTATGATATTCTGAAAATGAGTAGTCTCAAGGTTATAAACCTTGGTTCACTTTATTTTCTGCGGCCACATAACATAAATTACATTTTTAGGGAATATATTACTGAAAAGTGTGTGCTTAAACACTTGGATGTTTAGTGTTTTGGATTAAAATAAATATTACT